CTGGATAGTGCGCCACGTGGGAGGCGCGGTGGCCCTCCCGCCCGAGGGTTTGGATCCCACATACGGACCGGTTCCCGCTCACTGGCTGAGCGAGGCGCGGGGGCAACGCCGAGGGTTGTGATCCCGTTGCCAGTCCCGGTCCGGTGCAGGGGCGACACTGAGGGTTGCGATCCGTTGCCGGACACGGAAAAAAGACAAAAAAAAAAAAAAAACATACCCAAAGTTACAAGGCTCATGAACTAGTGAGAGCTCCCAGTCTTCAGAAGGCCCTTCTTTGCCTGCCCGTAGTCCCATCACAAGAACTGAACTTCTAAGCCACTCCCTGTTGGGGAATTTGAATAGAATGAGGTAGGACTGGGAATGCTACCAGCTGGGCCTGAGCCCTCCTTAGCGCAGCCAGTGCCCACTAGCCTGGCACAATCATGTTGCCCCCAGTGGGGCTGATAGTCAGCTACACACACTGTACAGCCGTACCAGCTCTCATGGGGTTTACACCATCACCACTGTCATCACCATCACCATCATCATCCTCATCCAAACAGGAAGTATGCTAGCTTGGTTTCTATTGGAAAGAATCCTAATTTGTTTGTTTAAATCAGGTTTTAAGAGTCAACTGTAATTTTTAGCATCCAGTTAGGACAACCATCCATGAACTGTAAGGGATCTCCCATCTGAATGTGAACAGGCTTCATTCTCATGTTGGCAAAACTTTTGGCAGTAAATAGCTTCACCTGCTCCTGCTTAAAACAAGACTTGAAGTGAATTCTCATACACAAAACCCAGCCCACACTCTTAAGATATGCTCCGTTTTCCGGCTATCTCCTTCAAGTATATCCCTGGCGGCAATGAAACATTTAAATTTTTTGTTACAAACACATGATAATACATGCATAGTATAAATAAATTAGAATATGCAAATGAGCAGAGAGGACCCCCTAAAAGAAAAAAATCACTCATTAACCCAATATTCAGAGATAATCACTGTTAATATTTGGGGAGGGGGTTATATACTCAAGTATTTATATCTGTGTCCATATCCATGTCTATATCCAGAGTCTGGCTTCACAGCTTGAGTCTGAACTACTGTAGTATTATCAACTGCATGGTTGTTACCAACATTCTTAAATTTTTCTTACCCGACCTAGGAACAGAGGTGACTTATACTGTGTTTTCCGGCAACATAACCCTTGCTGAGTTCAACGCCCAGTGGGGCTCTCTACCCTACAATCTGACCCTGGACAGAGAAACCCAGGAACTGATGGGCCCTGGGATGCACCCCCTGGAGATTCGAGCCGTCAGCAACACCACCTCTGCACCCTCTAGAAACATCACAGTCCACTTCGTGCAGCCCCTGTCAGGGTTGCAGGCCTCCTGGGCTTCTAACCATTTGGAGCTCGGACAGGACCTGTTGATCAATGTCTCCGTGGTTCACGGCATCCCAGAGAAGCTGACCTTTGAGGTGGCAGGACTCAGCACAACCTTCTCCCATGAGGAAGAGAGCTTTGGGCAACCATTTGGGATGTACCATGTGACAGTTCCTGTTGAAGGTACTTGGAGCTGGTGGTTCCCCTTCCAAACTTCCCTTCTCTTCCTTTTTGGACTTGGTGGCCAGGGTCCTACACAGCAGTTTTTCAGTGTATCCTGGACACAAACATGGTTCACAGCATCCCGCCATGGTCACAAATAAGGAAGAGACAGATTTTGTCTGTCCTCATAGAGCTTATAGTTCTAGGGGTTCTCAACTTTAGCACTTCTGACATTTAGGGATGGATAATTCACCTCATAGAGCTTATAGTTCCAGGGGTTCTCAACTTTAGCACTTCTGACATTTAGGGATGGATAATTCCTTGTTATGGTCAGGGACTGTCCTGCGCACTGTAGGATGTTTAGAACATCCCTGGCTTCTATCCACTAGATGCCAGCAGTACCAGCGCCCCAATTCTGACAACCAGAAATGTCTCCAGACATTGCCAAGTGTCCCCTGATCCTCATAGAGCTTATAGTTCTAGGGGTTCTCAACTTTAGCACTTCTGACATTTAGGGATGGATAATTCCTTGTTATGGTCAGGGACTGTCCTGTGCACTGTAGGATGTTTAGAACATCCCTGGCTTCTATCCACTAGATGCCAGGAGTACCAGCGCCCCAATTCTGACAACCAGAAATGTCTCCAGACATTGCCAAGTGTCCCCTGAGAGACAAGCCACTCCATTGAGAACCACTGGAAGAGAGCAGGTGTTTTCAGACTTCTTCCAGCATTTCTAGAGAAGAGTGTGGTTTGGGAAACGGCAGTCCAGAAATAGGTTAAAAGTGAAGGGTGGAAGAGGGGGGTGGGGAGAGGAAATGTCAGGATGATGCTGGCAGGGGAACAGGTTGGCTGGCACCAGCCCAGGGAGGGGGCTGCAGCACACATTAGCATTCAATCTGGAAGGAACCGAGCGTTCCTGAGGGCAGGGTGGTGGGATCAGCAGGCAGGAATGCGATGAGGATCCCAGTCTCCAGCCCACCCAGGCCCTGCCCACAGCTCCTCCTGGAACTCAGAGCTGTGCAAGAAAGGGGGTAACACTGAGCGAGTGTGGGGTTACCATGCCCTCAGCAAGGAACTTGGCAAAAGAAATAGCAGAAGGGACGATAAATTCAAGAAAAAAACCATTGGAACTTTGCTAGGTACCAAGGGTCCAACTTGAAGCAGGAAGAATCCAGAGGTTACTGAGACTGGAAAATACACACAATACATAGGCTGTGATCCAAATGCAAATTTAATGCCATCTCCCAAGTAAACGTTAGTGGGAGAAGTGTATCCCTTGCTAATTGATAAAAATGCATGTCCTGTGGCTTTTTCCGTTCATTTGTCCGTGATTAACAGACTTTCCTCCTCCTGATATGAACAGATTTGGACAACTCCAGGGGCTAAGGGGGTGGGAGGAAGGAAAGGCAATGGGATAGGACAAGGCGTTTGCACGCAGCGGTGCTGGCCCAGTCCTGGCTGGCCTGGCTCTTGGGGCCTGGCAGATGTTTGAAGCTGCCTCTTGCAGGAGCGTCTATGGGTTCCTGAGGCCCTGTTGGGCCCTGGGGCCACAGCTCCTGGGATGGGGCAGTGCCTCTCCTTGAGCTGGCCACATTGGTGTGGCTGCTTCTCCTGGGCCACCTCCACACCCTCCTGGATGGAGTTTCCTTATTTTCCCTCCTCTTCAGCAACCCCTCTCCCCAAGGCCCACATCTGGTCCATAGAAAATTCTTACCCATTCCTTGGCCTACGCCAGCCAACTGTAGTTGTTTCCCAGATGCAGAAATGCAGCCCCTTCCTCCCTCCTGCCCTCTCTCTCTCCACCCCCCGTCCCCCGCCCCACCCTAGATTGTTCCTTCAAGGGCATGAGTAAGGAGCCTGTCCATGGGATTCCCAAAGCTCTCCAAGGAAGGGTCCCCTCTGAAGACCTCCTCTCTAGACTTCACAGAGGAGAAGGCAGAACCCACTTGCCCCTTTTCCCCATGAGGGAGAAGGGATGGGATCACATGTATTAGCAGCTGTCTCCAAAGAAATCTTACATTCTTCCCTTCCCTCTCCACTCTCTCAACCCTTTTCAAAGTCCTGCCATATCTCTCCCACTTTTGGGATCCCCACCCTGCTCTGACTAACGAGCACCTTCTTGTCCTTGAAATTTAGCTCCATCCCATGTGCCATTTCTTTCTCTCCTGAAGTCGAAGTGACACCACCCCATTCCCACAATGCCCCTATGGGGGTTCCTGTTGTGGTTTGGCACTTAGTGTCCTACATGTCTACTAGACAGTAAGGCTCTTGAGGACAGGGACCATGTTCCTTCATTTCTGTGTCCCCAGAGCCTTGCACCATGCTTGGTGGACAGCAGGGACTCATTCAATGCTCAGGGTATGACAGATTTGGATGCTGCCAGCAGTGGGCTGGGGAAGCACGAGCTGGGAGAGCTGTCTCAGTGCAAGCTGAACAGTTGACAACAGTGCCCATAATCCCCCACCCTTTGCATTGCAGGCACCTTTCTGGTCACTGTGCGCATGCAGAATGCCTTCTCAAACTTGAGTTTGGATATCGGAAGCGTCACTGTCACAGGTAAGTTGTTTCCACCAGGAAGTATATAACCTGTTATTGGGAATCCAAGGCCTTGCACTTGCTTGGGATTTAGTAAGGGGCCCTTCAAAACAGGGCTCTGAATGTGTATCTTGTTCTACAGACATCAAGAATTCTCTAGTTACTCTAAAGATACCATGATGCATACCGTAAAACATTCAGCCACTGATACTGAATTCTAAAGCAGGAGAGTTTATATTAATTATGATGCTTTAAGCTACTAGTGGCAGAAAGTCCAACCCAAGTGGCTTTCAATTCAGGGCTTTCTTATCTCACATGAGACGAAGTTAGGAGGTAAGTAGTTCCAGGGTTGGTTCAACAGCATAGTGATGCCAGCAGGGACCCAGGCTCAGTCTGTCTTTCTGCTCTGCTGTCCTCAGAGCTTTGGCTTGGTCCTGGGCTTGCCTCTCATGAGTCAAGATAGCTGCTGGAGTTCCGGACATTGCTTGTCCACCAGCATATTGAGCAGTAGAAGGGCCTTTCCTCCTGCACACTCTTTTCATTAGGGGAAAATGCTTTGTACTAGTCCCCAGCAATCTTCCCCTCAGATACCACTGGTGAGGGCAGGGTCATGTGCCCAGCCATATGGGATGCAGGGAAAGCAGGCATCCAGTATTTTCAGGCTCTGTGTGAGAAGGTGGATTCTGGCTGCCAAGCGGCTGGTGGGGGTAAAGGCTGTTGGGAAGCCGGCCATCAGTAGCTATCACAGAGCTTCAAGTTCACCTTGAATGTGTTTGCTGGGACTCTTTGAGTAGCAAGGGACAGAAAAGCAGTTCAAACTGGCTTGAGTCAAAAGGAAATTTTATCAGGAGGTAGACCTGGTTTTCACTACCTTTTTCACTACCACTGAATCCATCACCCAGTGTCTTCAGAAATCTTCCTCTCTCCACCTCTTGGTTTCGTGTTGGCTTCCTTCTGATTCTCTCTCCCCACGCAGTAACGAGATGACCCCAGGCTTTGGTCTTGTTTTCACTACCACTGAATCCACCACTCAGTGTCTTCAGAAATCTTCCTCTCTCCACCTCTTGGTTTCGCGTTGGCTTCCTTCTGATTCTCTCTCCCCACGCAGTAACGAGATGACCCCAGGCTTTGGTCTTTAGCCCCAGATGAGAAAGAGCACCTCTTTTTTGGCTGTTTCTAGTGGAAGTCCTGAGGCTGCCTCTTGCTGGTCCATGTTCAGTTCCTGTTCCCTCCTGGACCAGCTGCAGAGACCGGGGAGAAGTGGTCCTCAGTTTGGGCAGAGCAGCATCACATGCCCACCCTGGAGCAGGAAGTAGGGTCAGCTTCACCCAAACGCAGGACTGAGAGTGGGGGAGGGATGGTTTCCCAGGGAAAATATCACCTGTAAGTGCTGTTACCAAAAGAAGGGGGCAGGGGTGCTTGGACAGGGGAAAATGCACTATCAGATGTTCGTTCTGCTGTCCACAGCCCTCCTTTTCTGTGTATGGAATTTAAGGCCCAGAGAGGTTAACTGAGGCCCACTCAGTTAATTCATGGCAAGATTAGAGGCAACAACTCTTTCTCTTGATTTCCTCATCCAGGGTTATAAGACTGTCTTCCTTCTTAATGTTAGGAAAGGCCTCTGTCTGTCTGGCATCTTAGCCTTGCTTTGTATAATTTTCTACATCTTCAAAGTTATAGTTGTGTGAATGAGAATTCACTTGGAGATAATTTTTTAAAGATCAGCAGTACCCAGATCTTAATATATCCAAGACACTAGGGCCCAGTGAACTACATGGAATAACCCCAAGTTCCTATCTTGATCACTACACTTTAGACATTAATCATATTAGTATTTAAATATCTTTAGAGCATATCAATTAAGTGTTCGTCTTTCATTTTAAAAACTGAACACACTAGCATCCTTTATTAGATGTATAGTTTACAAGACAATGGTATATACAGCGCAGTGCTCCTGGGACCCTGAGAAACAGGCATTGCCTTTGGCCTTGTTTATAGATGAAGACAGTGAGACTTAAAAAGAATAACTAACCTGCCCAGGTTCACATAGCCAGTGAAAGGCCAATAAGAGGATCCCAAAACACACCATACTGTGCTGCACAGGCTCCCACCAGCTGGCCAGAGCTGACTGTGCCCCTCTCTACACACTCCACATTCATTAAAGTGAGTTTGGTAGCTTGAGATCTGGCTTGGTGGGAATATTTACACCAGGGAAATTAGCAAACACCACAGATAGAGGCTCCCCACTCCAACCCCTCAATTGGTAGTTAAACGTGGACAGCACACAGGTACATCTATCTGACTCTAAATCTTGCCTTTTGACTGCATTGGCAGCTGCCTCTTAGCCACTGAAGAGGTGTATTTAGCCCAGTGGTAGACAGGATGTTTTGCTTTTGACCCATTTCCCTGTGAACTGAATGTTTGCTATGTTCCCCTAAACCACTCCCAAAGACAGGCTAATGCCTCTGGGACAAATTCATCATGACCCTCTGATTCAGCCTTTTCACAACCTTATACCCACCAGCAAAATTTGATGCCCATCCCCACTGTGTTCACAGCCCCTGACAGTCTCCAAGAACCATCTGGAACAAATGCTGAAGAAAAGAATGTGAGTATTTTCTTTTAACATTCAACCTCACAAGAAAAAGATGTTCAAACACTCTGTATTAGTCTTGAGTTTTGGTTTGTTGGTACTAATAGCCTGAGCACAAGGAATCCCAAGGCTTCTTTCATTTGAAAAAAGACCCACAAGGATTGAAATCAAACAAAGCATGTTCTCTGACCACAACAGAATTACGTTGTAAATCAATAATAAATGCAACCTATCCAAATTTGTGGGATGTAGCTAAAGCAGTGCT